GAATAAATAACCACTAGTGGACTTGGAATCCTTCATATCGGATATCCAATTCGCATCACAATATCCTTCTAGTACCGCAGGATATTTTGTGAAATGTAATCCATAGGTTCAGGTATACTTCAAGTACCTTAGAACCCTCGTCAAAGCCTTTCAATGATCACAGTTTAGATTACTTGTAAATCTACTAAGTTTATTCACCCCAAAAGCAATATCCGGTCGAGTGCAGTTTGTAAATACATAAGACTGCCAATTATTTGTGAATACCTTAGTTGTGATATGCTTTCTCCCGTATTCTTGACTAAGTGCATACTAGGATCAAAATGAGTTCTCGCAGGACTTTCCTCGAACACGTCAAACTTCTTAAGTACTTTTTCTATATAATGAGATTGTGAAAATACAATTTCATCCTGTATTCTAGAGATTTTAATCCCTAGAATTACATCTGTCACACCCATATCTTTCATATCGAAATGCTTTGTTAGCATCTTTTTGGTGTTAAGCAACATTTCGTGACTATGGCCCATTATTAACATGTCGTCCACATATAGACATACAATTACATAGGTATACGGTGTATGTTTAATATATACACATTTGTCACATTCGTTGATCTTGAATCCATTTGACAACATTGTTTTTTCAAACTTTGGTGCCATTGTTTAGGAGCATATTTTAATCCATACAAGGACTTAACAAGTTTACACACTTTGTGTTTTTGGTTAGGAGAAACGAACCCTTCAGGTTGCTTCATATAAATCTCATCTTCTAACTCACCGTTTAGGAATACTGTTTTATATCCATTTGATGAATCTCAAGATTGTGTATTGTCACAAGTGCAATTAACAACCTTATTGACGTGATTCTAGTCACGGGTGAGTAGGTATCAAAGAAATCAAGTCCTTCCTTTTGCCTATATCCTTTAGCAACCAATCTAGCCTTATATTTATCAATGGATCCGTCAGTTTTCAATTATTTTTTTTTTGAATATCCATTTCCATTCTAAAGGCTTGTTACCGGGAGGTAAATCAACCAACTCCCATGTATGGTTTTGCATTATAGAATCTATCGCATTATTGATAGCTTCTTTCCAAGGCAGTGCTTCCAGTGTAGACATTGCTTCATCGAAAGTCTTTAGATCATCCTCTACCATATAGGTTAGAAAATCTGGGCCAAACGTCTTGGAAGTCCTAGCCCTTTTACTACGCCTTGGTTCTTCCTCATTTGAAGTTTCATTGGTAGTTAATGTTCTCTTGTTAGAACTCGTATTTTTCTTATCTTTGCAAGGAAAAGTATTTTCAAAGAATGTCACATTCATTGATTCAATTATGGTCCCTTCATGTACGTCTTGTATTTCGGATTTGTGTACAAGAAATCAATAAACACTACTATTATTGGCGTATCTAATAAATATGCAATCTATCGTTTTAGGACCGATTTTCACTTATTTAGGCTTAGGTACCTCAACCTTAGCCAAACACCCCCACACTTTCAAGTATTGGTAGGATGGAGGATGACATTTCCATAGTTCATATGGTGTCTCTTCCATTTTCTTAAGAGGTATTTTATTAAGAAGACTATTTGCCATTAAAATAGCTTCCCCCCACATGTTCTGTGGTAAACCTGAACTTATTAACATGGCATTCATCATTTTTTTAAGGGTTTGATTTTTGCGTTCTGCAACACCATTTGATTGAGGAGAGTAAGGTGTCGTTGTTTGATGAACAATTCCATGTTCAGAACAAAAGTCTTCAAACGGTGCCCCATATTCACCTCCTCTATCACTACGAATATTTTTTATTCGTTTTTCAAGTTGTGTTTCAACTTCAGCTTTATAGGTTTTGAATGCATCTAAGGCTTCGTCTTTACTTCTCAAAAGAAAGATATAGCGAAACTTTGTACAATCATCAATAAATGTCACAAAGTATTTCTTACCATCTCGAGTTTGTACAAATTTTAGATCGCATATATCGCTATGGATCAATTCAAGAGGGGTTGTGTTCCTTTGTATTGAATGGAACGGTGTTTTAGCCAATTTTGTTTCAACACATATTTCACATTTATGATCAGGATTGATTTTATGCGTCAGAATTAAACTTTGATTCATTAGTTTGCGCAACGATTTGTAATTCACATGTCCTAATCGACTATGCCACAAACATGAAAGCTCAAGCAAGTAAACGAAATTTATAGTTTTATTCATAACGACTTGTTTCGGTACAATTGTAAGAACGTTCAACTTGAACATTCCATCACACATGTATCATTTCCCTACATACATCTCATTCTTAGATAACACAAATTTATTGGATACAAATACAACTTTAAAACCATTCTTGCTAAGTAAAGACCCGGACACTAAATTATTTCTTATATCCGGCACATGTAGGACATTGTTGAGGACGAGTTCTTTCCCGAATGTCATCTTCAAAGTGACTTTGTCGTGTCCTTCAACTTTGGAACTTGCAGAATTTCTCATGTATAGTTGTTCCCCATTCAATTATTAATAGTTGGAGAACATCCCCTTGTCCGCACACACATGGCGGGTAGCGCCGGTGTCAATACACCATTCTCTAGTAATTCCAATCGTGTTGCATTCGGACACTACTGCAGATAAACTCATTTCTTGCAGTTCATCGGATAGAGTGTTATTTGCAACCATGTGAGCTTGAACATTTTTCTTTGGCTTTCGACATTCACTTGAACGATGTCCAGCCTTGCCACAGTTGTAACAATTCTCTTTGAACTTCTTAGCATTTTTGGAATTGTCTCTTCGCGGTGCATAATTAGGAGCCTTACATTTCTTGTTTGTTGCTTTTGGTTCCATTTCAACAAAATTTGCACCATCTTGATCAATCGGTCTTCGTTAGATTTTTCGATTGTCCTCTTCAATCCTCAAGCGCACAATCAATTCTTCCAAGTTCATTTCCTTGCGTTTGTGCTTGAGGTAATTTTTGAAATCTCTCCACATAGGAGGGAGTTTCTCAATAATGGCTGCCACTTGGAATGATTCACTCAATTCCATTTTCTCGGCGTGGATGTCGTGCCACAAGACTTGAATCTCTTGCACTTGACTAATTACGATTTTGGAATCCACCATCTTGTAGTCCAAAAATTTGCCAACAATGAACTTCTTTGTTCTAGCAACCTCGGTCATGTACTTTATCTCCAAAAAATCTCATAGTTCCTTGACTGATTCTTTTGAACTATACACCCTATATAGTGGATTATCCAATACGTTTAGGATATAGTTCTTGCATAGGAAGTCCGAGTGTTTCCATGCATCCAAAGTAATAATCGATTCACAATTATTTTCTCCTTCTTGTACAGCCGGTGCAGTTTCCTTTAGAAATTTAGTCAAATTAAGAGTTGTGAGATAAAACAATATCTTTTGTTGCCACCTCTTGAAGTCTACTCCTGTAAGTTTTTTCGACTTTTCCCCATGTGGGGTAGTAGTATTATGCAACGGTATGGCCACGGGTGGTACCACATTATTGGAACCATTTTGACTTGACGAAATCCCGATGGTAGTCATTTATGTTACACAAACAGAAATTAACAAAATGATGATAATATCGGTGGAGGAATAGTACACAAAGCACTATTCAAACAAAGTAATGTTTGTTTACAACCAACCATAAAGATACAAATTTTGTCATAAGATTGTTGGAGACGACTTATAAAAAGGGCTATGTAAGGGTTGGTTTTTAATATATTTGTTTGACCAGTTTTAACCCGCAAGAGCGTGATCAAAACACAATTTATATGAATGGAAATTTGGATAGAGTTTTGGTATAAATATTTCGCAAAACAATGATTAAGGAGTAGAAATAGAGAATAATCCAAGGCGAAACGTTATCTCTATCCTTAAGACAAATTGCCCCGCTACGATGCTCACAGTGAATGGCACTTGTCTCCCAAGATACAACGGATTCACAACTTGTGATAGCAGCAGTTCAAACCACAAGAAATCGACGAACTTTTGACAGAATTTCCCCTCTACAAAGGAAATGTATGAAATGCTATGGAATTTAGAAAAGAGAGAATTGCAAGAGGAGAATGAATGTTCAATGCAATTGGTGTATCCAAAATCATGTCCATAGGATTCTATTTATAGATGTAGAAAGGGTGCAAATGAAGTAGTGGTGGCCAAAACATGCATCCTTTCAAAAAAATTGCAACACTTGGCCAAAACCTGCATTTTTTCGAAAAGTTGCAACACTTTATTTCTTCCAACTTTAGTCTGCAATTTCTCATTCATTCGAAATTGATTTCGAGATTTCAAATATACCACGACGATCTACTCAACGAGTAGAATAAGTTGGTCTATTTACTTTTGTAATTTGACCATCGGATCAAGTCCGAATATTTGATCGAAATTGACACGTACCTTTTCATTTTCCAATTTTTGGTTAATAATTTGAACCAATTCCTACAAATCATTCCTTGAGCACGCAATTTCTGAATCTCAGAGAATAAAAATGGCTATTTAATAGGGATTGCTGCCATACAATCAGAAACTTTCACGGCACAATCACTTATTTTTTTTCCCAGCTTTTAAGCTACTTCTGTCTAGGCTATAGGTCACATACACCTCGGGTTCTTTAGTTCTTCTTTAAAGCTCCTTTTTTTTTTGATATCAGGTATCCCAACTTACACCAGACTAAATTCTGGACCTCCAAAACCCATGCCCCTAGAACCTTAGATGGGGTAAATCGCGGGTTATACCTCTACTGGATCACAGATTCCCCCCATTGACTGTACACTTCTGCGCACAAGAGACCATCCTCCACAGTGATTGCTCCATACCAAATTTTTGGCCGCAGATTCCCACCAGGAATCGAACTCTCCATCCTGCCGCTGGAAGCAAGCCAATGTTGATTGATCCACCAGTTGAGCTGTGCCCCGGGGGGGATTCTTTAAAGCCCTTTTAAGTTTCCTTGTTCTCCCTTTCAACCTTTTCTTCTTCCAACTTCTCTCCAAGATTCTTGGTTTTTGTACTTATGGGACTTACAGAAAAGCTTCCTAAAAACGATAAGGATGTGGAGTCTGTGGACAAAAAACTTATTATTTCTGGGGTTAACGTTATTTTTCCATGTCCCATAAAGCCAGTACTTCTAAACTCAAAAGAAAAAGGGCTCGAAGAAAAGGATGTAGCCAAGGACGAGGAGAGTCCAAGAACACCAACTTGTGTAGAATCGAAAATTCCTTGTAAATCAGTATGTCCACCAGCACCCAAGAAGCCAAAAACAAGTTCAAAATTTCATAATCGTGCTGCTTCGGAATTCTTCAAACTCCCGGAGGAATGGGAAACAATTTTCAGACGCGATGTTAAGGAAGAAACCAAGTTAACTTAGTACACACCTTCAGTATGCATGCAGTATTAGACAGAAATCCACACTCGACAATATAATGAATAAGATTTTAACTTTCGAGTTTTCTCTTTGATTTTTACTTTTTATGCCTAATTTAACTTGGAGTTTCTTGCATACAATGAAAATTAGATGGCAATTTCAAGTTACTAATTGCATTGATTTTCTTTGATGTTTTCTTGGACCTCTTTAAATTCCACATATCATGTTCCTCTTTCATAAAGGAAACTATGTGATTATTTGCAATCTCTCCGGCTGCAATAGATTTTTTTTTTTCTTTTTGTTGTTATGTTTACATAAAATATAACACCATAATTAATAATGGATGCTGCTATTTACATTCGTAATTTTCATATTTTTATCTCACTCTATATCTATCCCTATTAAAATAATAAAATTTTAAAAAAAACTACTATTTTCATCCATGTCAAATTTCAAAATTATCTTTATTAAATTCATTCATTTAAACATTATATTTACACAAATTTTATATATTTATCCCACTCTAGATACGCCCCTAATACAATTTTAAAAAAAAAAATCACTATATTCATCCAAACACTATCAAAATCTAGTCTGATTCTTACTTTTCATTTTTTATATAGTCATGTCGGTACTTTTATATTTAGTTGCAGAGGTTAGCGAATCTACTTTCTTGAATTTACTGGGTTATCTCAAGAATACATTGCTCACGCTACCAAACAAATCTCTCCTCGAATCATATGTTAATTATTATTATTTTATTATTTATAAGCTAATAATTTTGGTTGTTTGTGTTTTTTTTTTTTTTTTTTTTTTTTTTTTTTTGGTAGTTTTAAGTTTGTTTCCTTTTGTAATGTAAGAATATTTTGATGGGTATTGAAACTTAATTTGAATTCTCTCATATACTTTCATCCGTCAAACCAATACTTAAAACAAAACATAAAAATAAGATTCAATTTTTCATATCATGAAAGAATTATATTCAAAATAATGTGTTGAAGAGGATTTTTATGATTATTAGGGTTTTATGATTTTAGTTGAAGATGATATTTTATAATTATTAAAATTTTAGTTAAACACAAATCCTAAAAGGATATAAAAATGTTCAAATCTTGTGGAAAGTGGATATATTCTAGGAAAAAAAAATAAAGGCTAATTTTTCAAAATTTAGGGCCTATTTCGTAAGTTTTGAAAAGTCAAAAGTTTCTTCTAAAACTGAAAAACTAATTTTAAATATTTTTGAACAATTTTGCGAAGGTGTTTTGTATAAATAGAAAAGTTTCTAAACGCTCAGCAGAAGTCCTATCAAACAGATCCTTGGCAAATCTACTTCTCCTATCCCATAAAGATAGACCTGCTTTTCTATGCCGTCTGTACTAAATTATAAGTCACTTTCTTTGTCAAGAGTATAATTAACTTCTTAGTTAGAAAATATATCCCTATTTAATGTGTCTTGTTATTAACAAATATGAAATACTCCTATTTAAATTATTTTCTTAATCTGTGTGAAAATAAAAATAAATTTATCTTTGTTGGAAAGAGAAAATATTTTATTTTATCTCTCTCAATATCCATTATAGATTTAGAGGCTAAATATGAGTAGTTAAATGCGCATGCAACTCCTACCTGTAAATAGAGAAGGGTATAGTGTAATATGATTCACCTTTTTCCTTGTAATAAATAGGAATGACATAAATCTAGTCTCGCAAGAGCCCAAAAGGATCTCTTTTTATGTGCCTATAAATAGGAGTCTTCCCACCCGGTTATTTTCTCCACATCAAATTGAGAAATTAGCTGGCATAGTTCCGTTTCAAAGAGAATCGAGCAAAATCGAAAACTAATGGAAATCTTTATGGAACTGAACTGAACTGAACCGAATCAAACCGTCTAGTTCACGTTCGATTACATAATTAAAAAAAATCCATTTGTGATCCTACAAAAAGTTGAAAGCTACAACAGCACGGAGAATAGGATTCATAAAGTCGAGCAACGAAAAATTGATACGAAAATCATATCAACTACAATAGAAGTTTTCTTTGCCATATTTTTGTACATAATCATTCCTCGTCTCCTGATCAAATACATCATTGGTAGTCATTCGTGCTACCCAGTTCCTTAAATCAAGAATCAAGTTGCAGGTACTTAAAACTGCATTTGAGTGAGCAAACCCGAGTGAGTTGTGTGGTGAAACACACTCAGATGATAGATTGCCTGATGCATCAATTCTTTCAGTTCGGGATGTTGAGCGATAAATGCACGGTCTATCCCCTCAAAAGCCGACAAAACTCCTGCTCGTTCCAAATCCTCGCTCTTTCCATTATTTATTGCTAGGTAACATATAAGAATCAATCCATGCAACGTTGCCCGTTCATTGCCCCTTAATAGTCTCATCACAGGCAGAACACCTTTGAACTCGATAATTGTCTTGGAATGCTCTATGCCTAAAAAATTATCTGGACAAGCAAACTTCCCTAACGAAATAGCAGCTTCTGTAGCCACATCCTGATTACTGTGACTAAGTTGCTCGACTAAAGGAACAATGACCCGCGTCTCCCGAGCTGGGAATGTTCTAGATAAAGAACCTATTGCCCTTATAGCCGAAATTTTCAACCTCAGGGTATCAGACTCTTTAATAATCCTTAATAGCTGATCCACAACTGCCTTAGCAGCTGGAGAATTTGTCTTGAAAGCCGCCCGTCTAAGGTCAGCATTAGATTCTGCAGCAGCCGTTATTTCCATTATTGTCATCAAGCAATCATACTGCAATTCCCCCTGTTCGGTTTCAACAAGCCTAGCCAAACAAAGTAACCCTTTTGTCTCCGTAATCCTCCTACTATTCGGTACACTCCCTCTAGCGAGCATCCACAACGCCTCGGCACAACTAATCTTCAACTTGTGCTTCACCTCCGGCTTCTCGTTTTCCCTTTCCTTCCTGTGATTTCCTCCCTTAGTACTCCCCTCAGAATAATGCATTGATAAAGAAGAACCAAATCCTGGCCTACTCAAACTTTTATCCATCTCCTTGTTAATTTGCACAATGGAATGAATACTCTGTTTCCCTTCTCTAATGTTCAGATCATCCATGAATATATCGAATGATAACAATGTAACAAGCGGCCTAATCACATTCTCCCTTGCAAAATCTTCTTGCGCCAGTGGACAATGCTCTGCCATTGTAGCCACCAAATTCGCAACTTTTATTTGAACCCTCATTGGCGAGTCCCGTAAAACTTGAAAAATAACCGGAACCCCCAATTCATCAATTATCGTCAACACTCTTTCCATGTCATTCGCTAAATTATAAAGTGCAAAAGCTGCTGCAATTTGAGCATCTGGGGAAGAATTATCTCTTAAGAGCTTCAATAAAGGAGAAATTCCACCTTCTTCAACTATAATTTGCTTATTTCTATCATTATCTTTAGCTAACGAAGCTAATTCATTTGCAGCCTCTATTTTATCTTGCAATTGACCCATGTGTAATGAAGCAATATAAGACCAAACCCAAGAAATAATGGGGTCATTACTGGCAATGGGAGGTAAACTAAGAACAATACCTCCGCCAGCGCCACCAGATTCGAAGATGCTGAGAACCCATTTCATATCAGCTACCGAGGAATCGAGGTAGCCGAGCAGCTTGCGAAAATCGGCGGCGGAGACTATGGTAACCACACGGCGGAGCACACTCCGCCGCTTGCACTTCTTAAGAAGGGCCAGTGACTTTTCAAGATTTTTCGATACATCGGCGGCGATGCGGCGGAGGGGACGGTCGTAGAAGTAAAAACCAACTGAGGTGGAGGTGGAAAGACGCACGGCGGCGCGTAGCATCTGGCAAAGATTACCCACTTTCTTGCCCACCTCCAAGCACTCCAACTTGAACGACTCCGCCTCCTTTACAGCTTCATCAACCCTATCCGACAACAAAATTGGGTATGATAAAACCTCTTCGATTCGCTTTTCTTGTTCGATTGCTGTCTGATTTTGGGCCTGCTTATTCTGAGGAAGTATTCCTGGCGGTGGTTTTGTCGCCATATTTCAGTTGAATTCAACCGGTTAAAATTTGATAGACTTGCACATTAAAAATTCAGAAAATTTGTGAAGGATTCCAACAAGTCACTGGTGGAGTAAAAAAGGTTAACTTTCCGTTATGTGTGCGTTCGTGGTCTGAGATAATGGTTGCCGTGGGAAAAGGAAAGTGCTCTAATGTCATGGTTATCTGCTAATCACTATTTTTTTTTTTTTTTGTAACTGAGCAGTTGTACTGTGAGGAATTTGGTCTGTACTATTTCCATTTTTCTAGGTCATCAGGAGACAGGAGTGTGGTATATTCAAATTTTTATTTACTTTCCTTCTTTAGTAATTATTATATTGCATTTTAAGTAAAATTGTTATTCGATACCAGTTCCCATTTTAAGACGGTATGTGACCATTTTAAGACGGACTATTGAATAAACATGTAAGCTACTAAAATTTTACTTTTCCTCGCTTAAACGGGTGGATTTTGAAGTGGCTACAGTGGCGGATCTATATGGTGGTTATCCTAATTGAATTCGTTGGGGAGAATTTTTTATTTTTTTTTGCTGCTAATAGATAGAATTTTTAAATTATATTTGATAATTCATATTAACAACAAATATTTCTGGTAGCTCAACTGATTGGCCCTTCTACTATTGAGTTGGAGGTTCTGTATTCGAAATTCTTTAAAAGCGATACTTTTTATAATTTTTGTGTTTCAACAATTTTTACCAAAATAAATGCAAGGAAGGTGATTCAAACATGTTACCCTTTCTTAAATATATTCACCGCTTTACCATCATGGCACTTCTTGATTTTTAACACATAATGTAACAAAATAATATATGTTTAATTTTACTGGTTTAATACAAGTAGAAACATTTTAACCGGAGTTTTGTCCCTTTTCTTTATTTTCTTTTTCGTTTCTTTTTTCCCTCTCCAATCAATTGATTGGAGAGTTTGGTCAATTAACGGTGGATGAATTTGTAGAAAAATTGGCTTTAACGTCGTAAGAAATCATTCAACACAACTTATTTAATTAATAAAATGTTCTACTATTCATTCACAAAAAAATGATTACGAAAAAGTGGAATCATACAAGTACATAAAATTGATATAAGCACATAAATAATTTCAATTTTATTAATATAATAAAGCTTGTTTAATTAACTTTAATTGTAAACTGAATATTGACATTTTGTTAATATATATTATCTATTTAATTGAAAAATAAATTAAGGCATTTTGCAGATTATAGAACTATTTTTTATCCAAAATCAAAGTTCATATTTCATTCTAGATCTAGTGGTGTATATAATTTTTCTAGTTCTAATCCATACAATTTTTTTAGTATTATTTAATTAAATATTAATAAACAACATCGCTATCACAGACGTTGGCCGTCGATAATAAGCTTTCAACGCTCACAGTCCTTCCTATCTGAACTTGACCCCTGAATTCGCCTCTGAGTGGCTAAACGTTCACTTAATTCATTTCAAAACATATTGTGCTAAACTATTGTTGCTCTAATATGATTCCATTTATAGCATGCCAAACATTTAGTTCCGCTCAGTACGAAACTTCACTGTTTTTATTTTCGTCTCTTTTTAAAAACGAGATGGCGTTTTCACTATGGCTATACTAGATGTACACATTTAGTGAACGTAATCGTTTACACCGCTCACATGAAGAGGACCCACATATAATTTATTATGTGTGGATCCCACACCATGCGTCAAAATACATTTGAATATGATTATTAATTAGTCAAATGACTTAATGGCTAATCTAAAGTATAAACTTAAATTGCAAGGAAATGGACAACATTTTTTTGTTTGCTCTTCCTTGTTATTAAAGATAAGCGTCATATATTAGGAGTTGATTGTTGCGCGTAATTAGGGATTAATGAATTGGTTGGTACTCATGAGATAGATTTTATTTTTTTATTATTATTTTTTTTTTATGACCATGAGTGTTCGGAGCAACTTACGCGAACCTCAACTAATTTTACAAAACTCTGAAGTTTACAGTCGAATACTCACCTCAATGACCTTAAGGGGACTTGAACTGATGATCATTGAAAAGCAAACCCACACCTATACTCATGGGATAGATTGGATAGAATTCATGATTTTAGTAACTTAAATATGTCATGTCTAATCATTATTTGTTGACCATAACTGCAATTAGGAGACGGAAATTTTACCCATTTTATGTAGAGTAGTTTTGTAATAATAATTTTTTGAAAAAACTTTGAAAGCAAGAAAGCTTAGAATTTCTCCGTAAGGTTGTTTTCTCAATTGAATGTATAATTAAAAATGAATTCTTTATAGAATAAAGCTCAAACAGGAGCTTAACAAAGCTTGGATGGGCCGTGGACATTGTGATATGCTGACTCGTCTAGAGAGTTGGGTCATTTTAAATTTACCTCTTTGATCCATGTAAAATATTTTTTTTATGTTTAAATTAGCACATCTGGCATGACACAACCCTTCCCAGACTCTTTTTCATATGGCCAACATGAATCATTTTACCCCAGTTCCTTGATATGAGTCAAGCATGTTTATTAGATGGAAACTTTGGTGCAACAAAACTAAGCCATTTATCACTAATACGGGATCACCTTTATATTTGCTTTCTTGGATTATGCCAATTTGAGACTAGTATCATTTCCCAATTAAAGAGCAAGTTTTAAATTCTCACCCAACTTAAATGTGTGTGCAGTGTGAGGATGTCAATTGAACTCTGTTTTGGGCACCCGGGAAGGATGAAATTCTCAGCAGTTGTTCCCTTCTTCTCGGTTAATGGGTACTACAAACCTGCATCCCACAATAATTTCAAACAGTTCGGAAGTTGAGCACCTTGCCAATGTGATATTCATGTGATGTAAAATAGGGACCTCTAAAAACAAACTATAAAATGTGGGGAGAATCAATATTCACTATTATATGAACATTTTGGGAAAATTTGTTGCTTTTCATGTGGTTTTAATCCATATTATAAACAAAACTCCATTATTATTATTATTATTATTTTTTAATTTATCATAGTCAAAAGAGGTAAAGTTGCCTTGGTAGCGGATCCAACATTTAGCTAGTATCTACCATCTGCGCTCGTCATGCTTCAGGTCCACAAGATTGATTCGACACGGAGTTGTATCAATTGGAACTTTGGCGAGGAATATTGCTAGGATCATATCCACAATCCTGCATACTACTCTGGACAATATGTCTGAAACTAAGACAGAGGTATGTGCTAAATAGAAATATCATACCAAGTAGAATTGATTTGCCTGCATGCGAAACAGAGCAAATCTCATGCAGAAACCAGATTTTCTAGCACGAGATCGTTTAAAGAACCCAGCACTTCATAATCATTATGCATATTGCAGACTCATATTGCAAAAGAGATACTAAAATGATGGTGAGGGGAAACAGATGCTGAAGAAACTAGTCATAGTAATACTTCAAGCCAAAGTGTGAGAAAACTGTGAATTTTCCCATGAAAAATCATGCTTCTCGGCTATTGCCAGAAGATAACATTGATGGACACTGGAAGTTCCAAGTATTTAATAGACTACGGTACTAATTTGACTCTTTTGAGCCAAACACAATGCCATGAATGATTATTATGTATAATAATTGGGCAACGCCATGCAATAAGCAAACTGAACACCCTATCTGCATTACTGTGCAAAAACATGGCCAAGGAACTGAACTTTGAAGGCAAAAAGGTCTCTGTTGGTGGTTACTTTATCAACGATTTCTTGTTAATCTGTCCATCTTTCATCTGATGTTTCATCAATTTCAGGTCTAAAATAACTATTTTAAAACAAAAGACCCAACATCAAAATAACAAGATCAACTAAATGACTGAAAGGTAATATCTAACCTTGCTCTTGAAGCATTATCAAGGGAAAGTGCGTAGTTTCAAGTCAGGCCGCCTTGTTAAGGATTATCGACAGAACAAAATTCACACAAGTATTACCCTTAGTCAATCCAGAAGCTGGGTTCAAGTGCAAGAAACTGTTCATATGCTGCTCAAGACAGATTTAAACAACTGGGAGGAGAAACAGATTCCACGGAAATTACGCAGAAAAATCAATATTAATATTGTAAGAGGTGTATTGCGATAGAAGTTAACCTGCTCTTTTGAGATCCAACATCTGCATCAAAGCAAAGCGATGTTTTCTCTTTATGCGGCACTTTCATTGCCATTCACCACAAAAGCTCCATTTATGTTTAAACCTGGAGGGACTAGGAACTCGAAGAGCATGGAAGCATATTCTTGGTACGTATTTGTGAGAGACTGTTTTTTCCAACAATAAATGCAAAAGGATTGAAACACCAAATCACACTGCCAAGAATATACATTTTGGGGAGAAGCCAGAATGTTTCGCTGTAGTTAAAGTTCATCAAATACTAACATCCTCAGAATAAGTATAAATTCGACAATTTTAAATAAAACAGACCCGTGCATATATAGTAACACATTATCAATCAGCAAAAACAAACTTCTGAAATAAGCCATATAGATAACATATTTCAACAAAAATAATTAAAGGAAATAAGCCACAATAGAATATGACAATAACAAACTACTTCCAATAATAATTATTAATTGAACTCCAAAATTTAACAATATCCATTACAAAATCAAGGTCCAAAGCTCAATAGCATATGAAAATCGAAAATATTTTAAAAGATTCCACAAACCCTAAGCAGTGAGCAAAACAGAACCACCAGCCTCCTTAATTTTCTTCTCAGCTATCTTCGACACAAGCTTAGCCTTAACAACCACCGGTTGATTTTCCGGCAAAACTCCCTTGCCCAAAACCTTAAAGTATCCGAACTGCGTAACATCAATCACGGGCACTTTATCCTTCGACGCCGCGTCTTTGGCTTCGGTGGGAACCATGGACCAGAGCTTGTCGATGTTAACAATTGGGCAATGGAACTTGTTGCGGAGCTTGTGAAAGTAGCGCATCCCGACTTTACCGAAATACCCGGGGTGGTACTTGTCGAAGAGGATCCGGTGGTGGTGCATACCACCGGCGTTTCCACGACCGCTCGGGTGTTTTCGGTGCTTACCGATGCGGCCGTGACCGGCGCTCACGTGGCCTCGCTTCTTCCTATTCTTCCTGAATCGGGTCGTCATGGAGGCTGCTGAGATGTGGATATAAGGCTGAGATGAGCTTCATTTTATAGGGGATCGGGAGTGAATTGTAAATTACAATTTTGTTCTTCTGTTTTTGCAATGTAGAAATATGAGTTGGGGGGTAGAAATGGAAGTTTGCAGAACGTGGATTAGGGTTAGCCATATGACAAAAATGGCACTAAAATTAGTTGTTATGAAATGAGTAACGAGCAAACTAGCTCGCATCTCGACTAAGAGATGGAATGATCTCGTCTGAAAAGTTCCAACTATTTTGAATTTTTCTAAACGGACAGGGCCTTGTATACTGTTTAACTATTTTAATCATATATTTTATGAAACTCACAATTTTTTAATTATAAATTTTATTAACTTATATCAAAATCGAATTTTAATTCTCTCCAAATAGAGAATAGACCAAATTGGCTCACATGTCAATATTGTAGGCCAATCATGCTTGAATTAGTTCAACCCTCCATTTTTTTTCTTTAATTCATTTTTTTTAAAGATTTAAAAATTAACTCATAATAGAAAAAAGTCACGCTTCGAAAGAAAATTTGAAAAAATATTCCTCTCAGTGATCTATATGTTAGAAATTATTTGTGAAATATGAAAAATAAATTACATTTTATCTTTTCTTTGTCAAATAAAATGAGCAAGTTCTCATAAGCTATCGAGTTAAAAAGTTCAGATCACACATCTATTTAATGAAACATAAATTGCTTAAACCATTTTGTCACCACAGACTAAAATTGATTCTTGTAAGTTTTTAGAAGTTCAAGGAATTAATATAATATAATGTTCGGCTTAAACAAAACAAAAATAAAGTTCATACAACTATAATCAACAAATCTCTTTTCTAGACAATGGTTAAGAACCCTTTTTTAAAAATTTTTGTTTTTCTCTATTTGAATCGATTACAATTTCTAGAATAATCAAATATTCTTCAAGTTCCGTTTATATAGGTTGATTTTGGTTTTCAGGCCGATTAAAAAATATTATTTAATATTATTGAAAACAATAATTTTTTTCAAAAACTTTCCTATTTCACCCTTATTTATATTTGTAGAATTTCCAGATTAAGTGAAAAAAATTGATTATAAGTAAACAAATTAAATAAAGATATATCAGTAAAGAAATAAAACAAAACATTCTCAATAAATAAACATGACTATATAATTATATAATTGGAACAAGAAAATAAGGAAAGTTAACCCGGAACGAGGAATATAAATTAGGATTTTATAGCATAGCATTCAAATTGATTTCTATGATACAATAACAGTAATACAAAGAACAAATTGTACAACAACAAAGTATACCTAGAAAGAATACAAAGTACAAACTAAACATCACAACTGCACAAATGCGCAAACTTCAACTTTGCAAAAAGAGTGCAGCTCCAACCAAGCCAACCCATAGAGTTAATGCTACCCAGAAAGCTTGGTTTTTCTCCAAATCGACCGGTGGTTTCCACACTAGAAAGTCTGCCAAATAGTCTCTGGTCGATGGAAGCTGGCTAGTCGTGGAACCACTTCTCCTTTCGTCTCTGTCCTTGTTTTTATCAGTCCAAGTTGCTGCATAACTGTAAACGAGAATGTATGAATGATGATTGCTCGGTCATTATCAGAAAAATACCTTACGAAATACAAGTATCGAATATCACAACAGGTATCAGCACCAAAAGTTCACGCTGGTGCACACTAAATTTACGACTATTCCACAGTTCAAGCAATTTCTTATTTCAATTATTGATTTTCCAATTATTAGACATTGAAGCATTATATTTATACTAAATTATTATTTCATATGCAGAGTTATATTCATATTTCAACAAGTTTTGAGACATTTGTTATACATTTTTGCGCCTCTAGTTACTCTCATTTATGATTAAATCTTAACTTAAGCTGAAGTCAAGTTCTCAACTTCATTGGAAGGAGTTTAGCATAGGCTCAAGCTTTGAGAGAGCAATCGAGTAAAGCTCAGTCTTCAAAGGTTTGAGAACATTAACAAACTGCACTTGTACACCAGAAAAGCTTGGCTGTAGAAGTTTTACAGTTCAAATAAAAGCTCAGTTGGCCTCAATGGTTTATCTTTGATTCCAAATGAAATAGACCTGGAAAGATCAATTTGCATATATATAACGAATTTTAAGTTTTGAGCTACTCTAGCTAAATTCAGACTGTCCTAATTTCAGATTATATCTCTGAATACCAATTGTCAAATACAACTCGGAGAAGTAAATCTTCTCTGTTTCACATCCCAGTGTGAGCTGCATATACAAATATTGTCGGATTATCTCAGATCTTATATACAGTCACGCCATCTTTCTACTGCATAAGGTACAAAGTAGTACCTCTCTTTCGAAGAAGGAATGGACACTAGAAAAATTAAAAAATCTTGTACAAGATCCTTATCCTCTTTTCCAGATAAAATTTTTTATTTAAAGGGCACGTTTCTTCTTTCAACTTATCCATGAATCAAATAATGGTTATTACTAAATAGCGTTTTAAGAGTACCAATTCCACCAAACATGTTTGAAAATTCTAAGCTAACTCATATAAGCATATGTTTGGCAAGTATTTATAAACTGTCAAAAAAAGGTCAAATTGATTTTTTTCGACACATTTTGAGACCCATTAGTGCTATCCACTTATCTACCACTAATTTTTATCTATTTATAAAGAAAACCTTTTTATAAACACTTCTGAAACAAGCTCATCAAAGAGATTCAACATGTATAACTAGAACTATTGAAGCTAATATTCAGGCAAGCCAATGGAAATTGTAACTTTTCCCACTATCTTCCATTTCGAATTCTAACTCAAATTTATATATTATATGAAGTGGACCAATGAGTAAGAACAGCATATATTTGTGTACTGATCTCTCATTCCTTGATGCTTGTACTTGGTTACTGAGCAAGAAACTTGGGCTTGAGTTAACTAAAGAAAAAAACTGCATTTCAGGAAAAAAAAGAAAAGCATAATGTCCATCGCATCTCACCTGTCATAGCTCGAACCTATCAATGGGATGGTGACCATTTCTTCCTGCGATATCTTGAGTTTAGGTGCTTGCAATATGTAGCGCAAGTCTGCAGCTTGGCGTCGTATGCTGACACTTGGATGCTTCTTTTCTAACTGCTGATAAAGAGCAATGCAATCTGCATGGCGATTATTTGCTTCGTAAGCCATAGCAAGCCATATTTGTATCTGCACACCACAACGTAATTTCATAGTTAGCACATGACATCGAATCTGGCAGGGGAATAATCATTTTCCAGGAACAAAATGGTTATCGAAGTATGGTATATAACCAACCTCACCGCCAAACAAAGTGGGCCGGGGAATGATTGTCAGTGCACCTTCAAGAAATTCAATTGCTCGACCATACATACCCTTACCATAAGCCCTCTGACCCAATTCGAACATTAACTGAGCTGTTTTCCTCCGCTCTGCTTGTTCCTTTGCTACCTACATTCTCGTACCAAAAGACTAAATAGCTACATTAGTATTAACTTCAGAAAAACACTGTAACGTGTAAAGCAACCAATCTCATTTCACAGTCTTTACACCATGGGATCTCCCATCAAGTTATTAATTCATCCACTATAAAAATAAATAAAATTATTCTTCTTACTTCATAAACAGCACATTTAGTTGTACTCAAAAGTGGACATATTTTCAAAAAAGTAGTTTTTAAGCTACTTTAAGGCAGTCAAAATGATATTTCATGGTAAAACACTCAAAGTCGACAAATACCAAACTGAAAACAGCATATATTAGTCCATTGGCTCAAACCTTCATTATTATAAAAATTATAAAGATGAAAGTAATAAACATACAATAAAATTTGGATAGATTAGTAACACAGAATCTGTGGCTTATTTAACAAATGAAAGACCTTAATAATTCTGTGTTATTTGACAAGTGAAAACCTGTTACATTTTCTTCCTTCATTTTAGTTCTTTTTAGCTCTCTTTGTTGCATCTCCGGTTCTTCAAGAAAAACTTATTCTCCATTATTCCAAATTCCTCTTGACCACTGTCGAAAAAAATATTTAAAACAGTACATGATCGGCCCAAATTTTTAAATGAAATGATTAACATATTGAATTCAAGTCTCGCTGCCACTCGATCATGAGAAAATGTGCACATCAAGAAATAAATTCATTCAGCAAGGAACTTATCAAAGACAATTGATCCCTCTAACTGCTCTCTAATGGATTAAGCTTTTAAACTGGATGATTAATCACATACGTTGAAGCAAAAACAATAAAACAACGGATAATCATTTGATTTTCTTATGAGATTTTTAGATCAATCAAAAACTAAAACACTGAGGAAATTATAATTTAAAAGTGTGAAAAGATTAACCTTTTCGAGTTCTTTTCGAACTCTCATCCGCTTCTCTTCTTCAGTATCTTCCCTATTATCATCCAGACCATCCTCGCTGTTATTATCATACTCTTTATCGACTTTATACTGCAGTTCCTCAGCTTTCTTTTCCAAATCTCTCATTTCTTCAATTTCCTTAACTCTCCTCTTCATCTCCTTCTCCCAATCAAAACCCTCATCTTCCACAATTTCCTCCTCGAATCCATTTCCATTTCCATTTTCATCGTCACTGGAATTCTCGAACTCCACTTCATTCACCTTCGACCGACCAGATTTCCCCCTAATATTCACATGCCTTTCTTTGTTCTCGAATGAAAACGATTCGGAATTGAAGTTCTGGTGGTCTTTTTTGAAGAGGTGTAGAACGACGTCCGAAGGAAGCGGCCGGATTTTGCTGCGGTCGGGGATGATAGTACGAGGTGGCGATATTACGAGGTCTAGGAAGGGAGCTATGTTACCTATTACTACAGCCATCGTGAACGGTGTCTTCTTGGGAGGAAGAGAAAAAGTGGCAAATTGATAATGGCTTTTTGGTTCAGAATTCTGTTGGAGAAGAAGAAGGGGGGGCGGGGGGGGGGGGAAGAAATTTTGGATTAGGAAAAGACGAAAAAGGACATAGCGTTATCGATAGGATGATTCGAGAGAATCTGAAATTTCCCAATCAAAACCCTCATCTTCCACAATTTCCTCCTCGAATCCATTTCCATTTCCATTTTCATCGTCACTGGAATTCTCGAACTCCACTTCATTCACCTTCGACCGACCAGATTTCCCCCTAATATTCACATGCCTTTCTTTGTTCTCGAATGAAAACGATTCGGAATTGAAGTTCTGGTGGTCTTTTTTGAAGAGGTGTAGAACGACGTCCGAAGGAAGCGGCCGGATTTTGCTGCGGTCGGGGATGATAGTACGAGGTGGCGATATTACGAGGTCTAGGAAGGGAGCTATGTTACCTATTACTACAGCCATCGTGAACGGTGTCTTCTTGGGAGGAAGAGAAAAAGTGGCAAATTGATAATGGCTTTTTGGTTCAGAATTCTGTTGGAGAAGAAGAAGGGGGGGCGGGGGGGGGGGGAAGATATTTTGGATTAGGAAAAGACGAAAAAGGACATAGCGTTATCGATAGGATGATTCGAGAGAATCTGAAATTTTGAGGCTAATATTGTCTAGAATGGCAGGAAATACGTAGCGCGACATGATGAATTTTTATTTTTTGCGGTATTTGATTATTATTTTTTCCCATAAAAAATATATTCTTTCTCTTGATCAAAATAAAATATTTTCCTCGAAAATAAAAAAAAATATTTTCTTTAAAATAGTAGATTTTTATTTTTCAGATAATTCTCTTAATAAAAAATAGACAAATATATTATTTTTATAAATTGAAAACTAAATCAATCGAACATATTTAATTGACAATTTTTATACAAATAAATTTTAGGTTTATTTAGGGAGGGTTGATTTTTATTTTTTAGAAATCAAAGACCCAAAAAGTAGAAATTTGGATAAAAAGATGACATTTTTCATGAAAATAAAATCAATCAAACTCACTATAAAGGTGCATGATTCCAAGTATGAAAATTCCATAAAAAAGAAAATATTTTATAAATAATTCAATCGTTTAGAAATTATTTGCATGAAAATTGTTAATTACATGTGTTTGACTAGATTAATTTTCAACTTATAAAATGTAGCACTTTTCCATCTTTTGGTATTTGATAGTCATTATTTTCATGATAATTTCTATCTTTTAGTGTTTGATAGTCACCATTTTTCATGAAAATTAGTCAATCAATTTTGAGAAGTAATAAACAATAGTACCTTCACAATTAAATAATATTGCATGCACACCATAATTATGACTTTTTAAGAAGTCATATTTCAACGATAATATTCTAGAAATATAATAAGATTCATAACAACTAAGGAAAATGGTCTCAACAATCCAGATTTCTACTCAAATATGGAAATTAAATATTCTTAATTCCAATCAAAAGTAATTATCAAATAATCATTTCAATAAATAATAATTAGATTTTGTCTAGCGTATTACGTAAAAACCAAAAATAAAAACATATGTATATCAAAAAAAATTTATTATAAGAAAGTAGCAATTCAAATCAACATAGATATCATACTTTTGCATATATTTGTTGAATTATCCAAGCAAGTCATCTTAAAATAGTAGATGCGAATCATGATCAAGTATTTTAATGAGTTGCATTATGTCGTGCTTATCTATGTTCATGTCTTTTAATTTTTCTAGAACCAATTGTCAATTGATATGTTTTAGCGTATCTAATGTTGCTTGAATCTCCATAGTATTAGTAATTTTATTTTTTTTAAACGATTCAGTAGTGCTTAATAGGGGAATGAGACTCTCATCATCAGGTTGGATATGACGTTGCTAAATTTTGTTGGTTCTTCCTTCAACGTTACGCTTAAAAGCACGAATTGGGATTGGATCCGTATCCTCATTTTTACCATTAACTTCATTCACATTTTTATCTAAAAATATTTATATATAAAAATTAGAATCTTTTATATAATATATGAATTGTATAATTTTTTTATGTACAATCTTTTACATACAATTAATGGAGGAAAAATTGTCATTGTCGGTTATAGCGTGATCTCCTATAACATAATCATTTGTAAAGATAGCTTCCAAATCATCATAATGAGGACATAGTTTGGTCCTCTACTTTCCAAATTTTGTTCTGCCCCCTGCAAAAAACGAAGAGTGGAATATGTTTTATACGTAGTTAATATTCAAAACAAACTATACTACTAATAAGTAATGACTAATAATTTCATTGGTCGATGAAATATGTACCTTTAGAAACTCCTTCCAAACTAGTACATCGGTTGTGAAATGTCTAGTGTTAGTATCTAATCCAAAATCATCCATACTTAAAACTGACGAACTTCAACATATTCTTTTTTTTCAAAGTCTTCATCACATCCTCACATTCTTATTAACACCACGACTCGGCATCCATTGTACATACTCTCAATTGCTTTGGACACATGATATGATGAAAAGCCATTGTCACTCCTTTTGGGGCTGGCCAATACTTGATGCAGTAGTTCAATTATCATACAATCGCTCCATTGTACATGACGATTTCTAGAACTAGGATCCATTTGGGTAGAGCTTATTTTCAACACATTTAAATTGGTGGTTGGTCTAGAAACTCAAAAATGTGCCATAAAGCTTTGTAGATTATGTGTCATGAAAATCTGTATTACAAGATTAAAAGTTTATGGTTAACCCCTAAATAAGCACATGTAAAAAAAAAAAAAATTTAAAAATACATGTCAAGAATTTGTCTCTAATGACAACATTTCTAGTTACAGGATTTAAAATTCTAGCAACCTTATGTTAATCATTACATAAGGACGTGGAAAAAAAATATATCTCATATCAACATGTCTTCAATTTAAGCACTAACTAAATATGAAAGTCTATCAAATTTATGTCTATTACATAAGAACATTAAAAAAAAAAAAATCTGATTTCAATCGAAATCAACTCCTATATTCTGATTGGAAAGATAATCAGGCCACACTAAATCAACAATTGTATTCCTCTTATTAGACTATGCTTCCTAAGCTATGAAAGATATGTGAGCATTTAGAGTTTCATCTTCAAGTAGATCAATCTGTGTAGGTTTAACCTAATCATCACTACTAGCTAAGTCCTCCTCACAAACATCTTCTACATTAATATTCCTTAAGAAGTTGTGGACAATAGAACAAGCAAGGACTATCTTCGCTTGCATGTCAATGTCGTGGTAGAATTGATGTTTCAAATATACAAATATTTTTTTAAGCAAACCAATTGCCCTCTTAATAACATTACACAGAGATGAATGTAGAAAATTGAACAATTCATTATTTTCAGGACGTTGACCCTCAATGTCTCTACGATAATAATGAGTCCTACGTTATGGTACAAGAAACCCCGAAACCAATGGGAAATCGGCGTCGACAAGATAATATTTATCTATAAAAGAGTCATTCATAACGTAATCATTATTTAATTATTATAATTTATGTGTTAAAGAAATATTTTCAAAATAGTGATACAATTTTACAAAAGGAATTGTTAACTTAGTCCTTTGCGTAATATTGCACTTCGTAACAATCAACATGTACGGATCCCTCCCAACAGGTAAGCACATATGTAAATGTTCACATCAAATGTGTAAGCTACTAAAACATTTTGAAAAATCATTTGTTTTCTATTTGCGGTACCTAGCTTGCTCCTCTAAGATACGATTGTAGCAATATGCTATTGTCTGTACAACATCCTTTTAAAAAAATAATTTTCAAAAATTTAGAATATTGAAGTTCTAAAGAATATAATGAAATATCTACAAACCCTAACCCGAAAATGGAGCACCATGACTTCACATTTTTTTCTCATATGGTGAGTTATGAGAGGTAGCGTTAATCACAACATCTCTATACAATCCAAGATAAGCGTGTAAAACTCTATGAAAGTAAAAACTCACTGTCTGTCCAGATCAAAAGAAAGTAAAATGTCCAACTCGATTACATTGATCATGTTCGACGGTATAGCTTCTTGTTCCTCAATTCGAACATATTTACTATTAACCAATCTATAAATTCGGAAACAAGCACATAATCTTTGAAACAGACATATTTCCATCCGAAGTAGATCACGAATTGATGTATCACTCGTACCAAATATTCATGTAAGTATCATTTTCTCATTTAGAATCCCAATTTGTATGAGGAGCTCTGGGGAGATGTCATTCGCAATGCCTAATATCATTATATATTACAATCGCTTGTACGGCCCATCGTCCAAAATAAACCTAAATTTTGTCATTGGTGACTTGGCGTCAATGTTGTAGCTAGGTTACGAAATTTCATATTAAATATAAATTCAGTTAAATTACATATTATAATTATAAAAGACAAATAAAACATTTAGTAATTTTGTCACATTTGATCATTTTGTTTATCTGATTATGCATTATATCACACTATTCAAGTTATCAAGAGGATGGTATCAGATACAAATTGCTAGTCGAAAAAATTTATACAGAACACTATTGGATCAAATGACTAAGACATTATGCTTTTCCCTGACTTAAAAATTTAGATCATGCACAATTTTCCAAAAACTAACATTAGCTTTACTTCAATATCTTAGATCAATTAAGATTCCAAATGCTAAATCAAATTATTATTTCCATCAAATGCTTTTGTCAAGGTCTTTTACTGGTATTAACCTTAGTTGATATCTAAGTACCTATGAAAATTAATGAAATCGTGTGTTTGAATATTTGCTCTGCAATATCAAAACTGAACCAAAACCTAAACTTTGTTTGATAGACAATCTTGCATTTGCAAAGTTCCTGGTCAACAATGCCTTGGATATATGAAGGCAATATACTGTATTAGTAACAATAACTTTCATGGGCAAGGGTATAAAAAAATTGCTACAATAAACCAATGAGACTAGGGAGGAATCTAAGATATGGGTTTAAGGAACAAAGTTAATTGTA